TCAGTGCTTTGAGAAAGGATGTAGAAGAAAGGCTGCTTCTGTGTTTTCACCATCTGTGTCAAGAGACAAAGTAGAAGCATGAAGGGTGATGGTACAAAAGTATTGGGTGTAGTTTTGTGACTGATAGCTCTAGTTTCTAATAATTCGTGGAGGCATTAGCTTTTTACTTCTAACATCAGTGCTTTGAGAAAGGATGTAGAAGAAAGGCTGCTTCTGTGTTTTCACCATCTCTGTCAAGAGACAAAGTACTATAGAAGCATGAAGGGTGATGGTAGAAAAGTATTGGGTGTAGTTTTGTGACTGACAGCTCTAATTTCTAATAATTTGACCAGATATCACCTTTTTACTTCTAACAACAGTGCTTTGAGGAAGGATGTAGAAGAAAGGCTGCTTCTGTATTTTCACCACATTTTTGGACTATGCATCTGTGTCTAGAGACAAAGTAGAAGCACTCAGGGATTCTACAAATGACTTGAGAACCAGCATTAAATGTACCCACAGCTGCCCATTCAGTGGATGGCTACCATAGACACAAACTCCATGGGCAGGTATGTGAAGTCCTACCAAGTCCTCAAATTCTGCCAGTACATTCTTTCTGTCAGTGCAATGATGGCAAAGCAGTACCTTCCTTCTAAACAAAGACAAGCTCCAAGCATGGAGACTGCTCTTGAGCAAGCCCAGCCTTTCTTTCTATTGCTCTGGTTCTGTCCTCCCCTTCCTTGAAGGATCACAGGACAGTAAGAGCGCAGAGCCAGTTCTGTCTCCACAGCAACCCTATTTGGTAGGCTTTGCTAAGAAAAGTTGACTAATTCAAAATTTAGAGTTTAATTTAGAGTAAAGATTTTACAATAAATAGCTATGGCTTTCTTATTACTCTATATCCTATGCAAAGATAGCTTCTTCAATCTGAGGAGAGTTGGTAGGGGACCCCGATATCTCCTCCATGTTGATTTCCCTTCCCCCTGGTCTGAATAGGCTCCTTAGATGGATAAGGGGAGGGGAATGAGAGAAAATATCACTTCTGCAGTCCTTCTCCACTCATTGTCATGGTTCGTTAACATTAACAGTGGTCTTTCTGGTGGGTGTGGTTCTGGTCTTTCTAGGGAGGAATGAAAGGGCAGCATGATAAATCGGAGACAGACTGTATCTAAGGCCTCTACCCCTGTTGAGTGAGGGATTTTCTATATGCACATGTATGGCCTCTCTGTCCCCTCTCTCAAACCATCTTCTCAGTTCAAAATGAGTCCTTTGTCCTTCAAATTAAGGAACACTACTGATTGTGGTCCTGAGCCATTGCCCCTCCTGTGCTGGGTCATTCTGCTGTTTAGTGGCTGGTTTCTCCAGTGTAGAGCTCCAAACACTTCTCTTTGCATTGGACCACATATACTATAGTATATTGCTCCTTTTGTGTTTTGGGGTTTAGTCATTTGGGTGGATGGGTCTTTGCCTTAATGTGTTTGTGGGTTTGAAGTGCACAGGTATGTGGTGTTTACCAAAAATCATTTTGAGCTTTTCGGACACACCTGCTATGTAAGGAATGACCAGGTTCTTCCATCGGCTCTGGGTCTCAGACTGTTCCATTGTCCTGCTGGGCCAGGACATTGCCTTGTTAAAGGTCCATATTGGATATCCACAGGGCTTAAGGGCTGTCTTCAAATGTCCATCTTCTTTCTTATTGGCTTCTGTGGAGGTGGGGATGTTTCTTGCTCTGTGGTTTAGTGTCCTGATGACCCCTAGTTTGTGTTGCAATGGGTGATGAGAGTCAAAACGCAGGTATTGATCAGTGTGTGTGTGGGGGTTTCTGTAGATTAACTGCTGTTGGATCCCATGATGACTGCACAGTCCAGGAACGCCAGTTGGTTGTCTTTGATGTCTTCCCAAGAGGGAGGCTGACAGGGGCAAAATGTCTCTGTTGGTACTTCTCAATATCTCAGCCATCTTCGATACTGTTGACCATGGTATCCTCCTGAGAAGGCCCTCCGAGCTGGGAATCAGTGGTCTAGTGCTAGCCTGGCTCTGGTCCTTCTTGGAGGACCATCCCCAGAAAGTACAAGTTGAGGAGAGTGTATTGGCTCTGTGGAATCTTAATTGTGGGGTTCCATAGGGCTTGGTTATCTCCCCAATGCTGTTTAATATCTACATAAGGCCGCTGGGTCAGGTCATCAGGGGGTGTGGGGCTTCTTGTCATCAGTACGCTGATGACACCCAGCTCTACATCTCCTTTTCTCCAACAACAGTGGATGCCGTTTCATCCCTTCAGTGCTGTCTGGAAGCCATATTGAAATGAATCAGGTGAATGATCTGAAGCTGAACCCGGACAAGATGGAGGTCCTGAGGGTGGGTAGCCCTGATGTCAGTAATTTGGGGAATTCCCTCTCTTTGGGGGGGGGTTACTCTCACCACAAAGAATTCAGTTTGCAGTCTGAGGGTTCATCATGTCCCTGCGCTTACCATGGAGAACCAGGTAGTGATCCATACCGCCTATTTCCATCTTTGGTGGATTACCCAGCTGTGCTCCTGTCTTGATATGGGGGCTCTCACCACTCAGGTCCATGCACTTGTAGTCTCGAGATTAGACTACTGTAATGCGCTCTATGTGGGGCTACCTTTGAGACTGATGCAGAAGCTTCAAATGTTGCAGAATGCGGCAGCCAGACTTCTTACTGGGGTGAGAAAACATCAACATATCTCCCCTACTCTGACTGCCCTGCATTGGCTGCCTGTTTGTTTCTGCATTGATTTCAAAGTACTAATGATGACATATAAAACTCTAAACAGTTTAGGACCTCAATATCTGGCGGAATGTCTCCTCCCACCTAGATCTACCCGAATCACTTGCTTTAGTCAAGACGGGAGGCTGAGGGGCCTAACACTGAGGGAAGCCTGAAGAGAAAGAACAAGAAAGTGGGCCTTTTCAGTAGCGGCCCCTCACCTCTGGAACATTCTCCCCCCCAGAAATTTGTCTGGCTCCCTCGCTGGGTGTTTTTAAGATCCAACTCAAGACTTGGTTCTTAAGGCAGGCTTTCCCTCCTGCCAATAACTAATTTATTTGCTATATTCAATTGTATTAATGTTGTTGTTTTATTTTATTATTCTTGAATGTTGTTAGCTACCCAGAGTAGACTCCAGTCTAGATGGGTGGGATATAAATTAAATAAATTCCTAGTGAACTTAATATTTGGGTTCACTGCATTCATATGGTCTCTAAAAGCCTGTACCACAGAGCACAAAACATCTTCAAAGTTGTTAAAACATGTTTAAAGACTACGGAATTCTTAAAGCTACCAAAAAAAAAAAAAACAAACACCCTGTAGGCACAAATGCTTTGAAAAATACATTAAAACTAAACTTAAGTTGTCAGCAAATACTTAAGTCAGAATTCAACCCAAAATAAAGGAGCATAACAAGTACGATAAAATACCAAAAAAGAGTCTACATTCTAGATTATATTCTAAAAATGGAGGAGTTTATAGCCTAAAAAGCACAATTAAAAAATCAGAGACTATATCTCTACACATCATTAAGAAGTAAAAAGCACTATCGTTTTAATGAATCTTTCTTTAGCCTTTATATGTTTGTATTACAGATGACACACAGAAACTTATTTTAATTCCTCACACAGCGAAACCAGTTTGAATCTATGGGGGAAAGTCCAAATTGTCCCCGTCTGCTGTTGCTACTACATGAGTGCTGTTCTTTGATATCAATGTTGTTTGTATCTGGTGTCTGTGCCTGATGTGATGCATTGTGTTATGATGCCATGTATGTGTCCCCTGCCTCCCTATATTTGTATTTCTTTCAGATGTTTACATTTCCCCTCAAACTGTAACCAATGTTTCCAGGATCTGTAATTGTAGGGTATTGATTCACCAGGGAAAAATTTATAATAGCAATTTGTATCATTTTTACAATTCCTGTAAACACAGTTCCTGCAAAGTAGAATCCAGCAAACTGCCACAATGAACAACAAACATTATTTTGAGTAACAGTTACAGTCTATGAATTTCAATAGGCTGAAACTACAGGGGTCTAGTAAGATAAAGTAGAGCAAATCACAGGACCAAGAAACAGCACCCACGAGTCATGTCTACATATGACAACCTTCTACTCATTTCAAAACAGTTACAGTATTTCAATACACTTTCAATTCTCTCCTTTTTTTACAGCTATCATTTACAAACATGTTCAACAGTCAGGTGTGTTATGGTGTAGTAACCCTGCTTTCAGACTTGGCTGAAACTAGCTGATGATTTTTCAGTTACTTTCAATAAACGGATGTTCAAAGCCAATTTTGTAAACACAACGTACATTTCCAGGGCTGCTTTTTCTACACAGACCCCTTAATTGTTTTAGCACTCTGGGCATTCAAAATTCTGCATCATGTCCATTCAAAATTTCATATCTTGAGGTACCCGCCTGACAGCAGAACCCAAGGCTCTTAATTACAGTTCTTCCCCACCGGCTAGCTGACTTGCCCGGGCACATGGGATTCACCACTAGGCTACATTGCCTTCCTTGGCCGTAAGCGGGAACCGCCTCTAGAGATGTGAAGCTACCCTTCACACAAACTCCTATCCATCCCCATTGGGTGATGAAACATTTAACCTAGAACACTCCAAGGTGGAAGCAACCATTGGTAAAGGTGAGGGGGAAGGAGAGAGGAGTTCATCTCTTTGTTCTCATGGTTCCCCTGCCCATTTTGCTTTGGATTAGCCCTCCTCGCACTTGAGTAGCTGACATGGCACGGTGAAGACAGAGGAGGGGCGGGGTGATGCCTAATGGACATGAACTATGCGGCGGGAGGGGAAGCGAGATGGCTTGAAGAAAGGGGGTCGGCCTCTGCTTCCGCCGCCGCCCCCCCCCAGGACGGACTAGACCACCACGGCGTGTTGCCATGGTTACGGAGCGGCATTCTCCCAGCCTGCAGCCGGCCCACTCCTCTCCGCGGCCCGGCTGGTCCAATAAGGGAAGCGGCTGAGGGAAAAGGGAGGAGGGGAAAAGAGGCGTGTCCCTGCCGGAAAGGGCGTGCCGCCGTCGCCGGAAGTGGCTACAGGAGCTGCAGGGTGTGTATGTGTGGTGATATAGCGAAGCGGGCTGCCGCGCGCCGAGACGGTTGTTCCCCTCAGAACCGAATCTTTGGAAGCCTGAGCCTCCTCGTCCTCTGCTTGGCCTTATTGCTTTTGCGTCAGGTGAGCGGGTCCGCCCTCCGGCACAAACTTCTCCCCTCATTCCGGCTTGTCCCTCCCCTCCCCCAAATTTGGCCGCGCTCTCGCGGTTTAACGGCTGCGGCTCTGCGTGCAGCTCCGTTGCCCTTCCCCCATAAAACAAAGGGAAAGAGTAGAACCATAGGCTCCCCTCTTCCTTAGATTCCCTCTCCTCTCCTGCCAGCGGGCTTTGAGAGGCGAGAATGGTGCCGTGTCGCGATCGGTTCCTCCTGAAGAGCAGACTGGAAGAGGCCTGAGGAAGGCCGCCGACTGTCCGCCTCACGGTCTCGCCGGCCGCCGAACCGAAACTGCCTGGCTAACGGCACCGCCGCCAGCGGTGTCTATCTGAGTGGGGTTGCATGCCCAGTTCTGTCTTCCCGCGATAGCCCGCGGCCGGCCTTCCCGCCCTGGCGGCGTCGATGAGCCGGGAAGCGGCTCCGCCCTGGCTGAGTCACCACCTCGGGGCTGGGCGTGCTCACCTGTGCGGAACAAACCGGAGTTAGGGCTGTTCTGTTTTAGCCACTCTTCGGTCAGAAGGCCCTTCCTTCGGTTGCCTCAGAAACTGGTTTGCTCCTGTAGGGGAACCAGTGGGTGGGTGTATTATTTCACCTTTTCGCCATCTGTTTTTATTCTTCGCCCACCTGCAGGAGCGAGGCAGAGGAGTCTTAACAGTTCAGACCTCTTCAACGAGTTCAGTTGCAGATAAACCCCATGGAATTTCAAAAACATGAATAGGGTGATTTTTCTGGCTCAGATTCCCACAGATTACTGTCAACCTAATTTTTTAGATCACCACATATGATGTACATGAGGTTTCTTTTTGCAAATATATATATATGTTTTATTCTTAGAGACATGGGAAGGGGGTTATTTGCTTTTGAAGCTTAGCATTTACACTTTGGGCAACTTTAGTTGCTTTGTGATTGGAGAAGAGGGCGAGTTGCGCGGCTATTTTGGAAACTAAATGGTAGGCTAATACGAAAATAATAATTAGTAATTGTGTGCTATTAACACAATTCTGACATATTATCACCCTTCTCAGGGCTTCCTAAGAAGAAAATGACCATGAATGGTTTACCATTCCCTTCTTCAGACGGAGTCCTGGGACTGTGCACTTGCCCATGACTACACAAGTTGGCTGTTGTCCCAGGAGGCACAGTGGGGAATTGAACTCTCAAACCTAAACCACAGGAGCTATCCAGCAAATAGTATGAAGATAGTAGTTACTATTAATTAGCCATTCAGGAGCCTTAATGCAATTTATGTTAGGAAATAGTAAACCAGATTAAGAATTCTTAAATAAAAAAAATACTGCCTTAGAGAATCGTCTGAAGTGTGCTTCAAAATTTTTTTGCTCTAGAGAAGGGATATAATTTAGAGAACAATTTGTCTCTAGGGTAAATCATTCAAAATAATTCTGTAATATGTCATCTCTTTAAATAAAGAGCAAGTGGAACTGGTGAAGAATTTTTCATATTCCTTTCGTAGTTTTTCAGTTTGAATTGATAGATTTCTGTATACAGTACATGTCTACCCTGTTTCCCTGAAAATAAGACCTAGTGTGATTTTTCAGGATGCTCGTATTATAAGCCCTACCCCAAAAATAAGCCTCAGTTAAGTGAAACCCCACCCTCCACCATTGTGCAGTAACCAGAATAAGATGACATGACTGTAAAATAAAACATTCCCTGAAAATAAGCCCTAATGCATTTCTGGAACAAAAATTAATATAAAACCCTCTTATTTTCGGTGAAACACTGTAGTAGTTTTTCAGATTTGAAAAGTTTACAAAATGAGCTTCCTAGTCAATGGCAGCAGTTTATCCCATAGCAGGTATGCAGAGTTGTGAATTGGTTTATTAATCCAGTGCTCTTATTTAAGGGGTGTAAGCAAAAGGTACCTTTGATCCTTCCTAGGTAAAAACCTTCAGAATAAATTAGCTCTTTTCAATTCAGATTGGGCTAACAGAGTAATTAGCCACCCTCACAGATCCAATATGAATGAGTACAGAACGCCTTCTAGAGGACATCCTTCCCTCATCATCCTCCTTCCATTTGGCTAGTGTAAAAAAGAAAGCTCATTGGATTCAGGATTTAAGCCCATCCTGGAACTTCTCAACCTGTCAGGTGTTCTGTGCTTCTCACTGAATTTCTGTCACTTGACTGAAACCCAATTTAATCTGCTATGTGTACATTGTGTGAGTATCTTTGAGGTGGTTGTTGTTTAGTTGTTAAGTCATGTCTGACTGATGGTTGTTCTGGGTTTTTCGGGCTCTTTGGCCGTGTTCTGAAGGTTGTTCTTCCTGACGTTTCGCCAGTCTCTGTGGCCGGCATCTTCATAGGACGGCAACCCGGCCGCGAAAACCTTCGCGAATATATCATGTCTGACTCTTTGTGACCCCCATGTACCAGAGCACACCAGGCCCTCCTGTCTTCCATTGCCTCCCAGAGTTTGGTCAACTATATGTCAGTAGCTTCTATGACACTGTGCAGCCATCTTGTCCTCTGCTGTCCCCTTCTCCTCTTGCTTCCACAATTTCCCAACATCAGGATCTTTTCCAGGGAGCCTTCCCTTCTCATGAGATGGCTAAAATATTGGAGCCTCAGCTTCAGGATCTGGCCTTCCAGTGAGCACTCGGGGTTGATTTCCTTCAGAATTGATAGGTTTGTTCTCCTTGCAGTCCAGGGAACTGTCAAGAGTCTCCTCCAGCACCACAATTCAAAAGCATCAATTCTTCGGCGATCAGCCTTCTTTATGGTCCAGCTCTCACTTCCATATATTGCTACTGGAAAAACCATAGCTTTGACTATGCAGACCTTTGTCGACAAGGTGGTGTCCCTGCTTTTTAAGATGTTTTCTAGGTTTTTCATCGCTTTCCTCCCCAGTAGCAGGTGTCTTTTAATTTCATGGCTGCTGTCACCCTCTGCTTTCATGGAGCCCAAGAAAGTAAAATCTGTCACTGCCTCCATATCTTCCCCTTCTATTCGCCAGGAGGTGATGGGACCAGTGACCATGATCTTAGTTTTTTTAAATGTTGAGCTTCAAACCATTTTTTCTTTGAGGTACTAATTTCCAAAGTGCTGCAATAGCATGAAGGTATTAAGGTGAACATAGTAAAGACTGTCATGTCCTTTATGAACTTCAAGGGAAACATGTTCAGTATTATTTGTGTGTTTATAGTTATATATTTTCAATAGGATTATTTGGGCTCATGTAGAAATAAGTTGGTTACTTGATGGGTAGTCTCAATTAGGCATAATTTAACAGATTTTGAAATAAATTTTTATGGATTAGAATCAGTTTTGTCATGGCATAAGTAATCAGTCCAGTTCTAATGCTCCTCCACTGTCAGTGTTCATCTCATAAAAATTCACCACATTTCTGTGCAAGAAAGCTAATGTTACAAAAAGATAAAATATGTTATTGCCATGCTGTTGGAAGGAGCTGCTATTCTTGTATCTGAAAAGTAACAGCCAGCTGTGCTACCTATTAGTAGAACATTCACATAATAAGTGCCAATATTTTATATGGATTGACATGACTAGGACTAAATAATAAAGGAAGCCCTTCCCTTCTTTTATTCTTATTTTTCTATAATATGAATATTTTAGAACTGAGGGATTTGTCCTGAAGATGTGGCCCTTACTTTTTTATTTTAGAAAATTAGAACCTTTTCCCCAATTTAATATTAACTTCATTTTAGTTTTTAAAGTACCTTTGATCTGCACCTGTTTTACATTAGAATCTATGCTTGCTGGAATGAGATCACCAACCTGGTTGGGGCTGAATCCAATTATTATGCCCAAGTAACATAGTCCAATTAAAGCAATGGGCTTACATTGTTGTTGATTCAGTAAATCTAATTAATTCCGTTAGCTTACTCTAATTGGAATTAACAATTTAATTTAGCTGTCATTTTTTTCTGGCAAAGAAAATTCTGAAACTATTCCTTTTCATTCTGGTTTATTAATGGGTGCCATGGACTTTTCTTTGACATATATCTCATGAGGTTTAATTCTTACGAGATAAATTAGATCATCCTCCAAAGTCTCTGCTTTCTTCAATGTGAAATGAAGAAAATTATATAGTCATCAGACCATTTATTTGCAGTAGTTTTACTTTTCACAGTGGTTGAAATCCTGTTGCTTAGCATAGTATATTGCACTAGAAGAGGCCCACTGCGGGGATCTGATGAGTCAGTTCCTCCATAAGTTCCATTAATTCCAATGGGCCTGTGTTAGTTGTGGCTTACTTGTAGTAAGTAGTAACTAGAGTAGGCCTGTGTGAATCTATGGAACCTACGGAGCAGTAGACTCACCAGATCCCAATTGATTTAATGGACCTATTCTAGTGCAATTTACTATGCTAAGCAACAGAACTTCAGCCAAAATGTCCAGTAGGTCAAGAAATTTGAGTTGTTTCCTACTCTTTTAAGTGTTGACTTTTAATATCTTTTAAATGTTCTGTTTCATTCATAGAAATTGAAAGAACGGATAACAAAACAGCACCTTTATGTTTTAGAATACAAACTGTGGCTTACCTGAAAGGATCCGATAGCCAGACACAGAATACTAATTCAGTCATATTTTGAAATAGCTTCTGGTTTTGCTTGTGTGTCCCAGTGTCTTTCATTGACCTTTCTCAGGAGGAATCGTTTGAAAATTCAGTGTCTAATGTAGAGCAGTAACACTCAAAATGCATGTCATGTTTTCCCATATACAAAAACTCATTTCCTGAGATGCCTACTGAAAAATGATGTGATTGCTTATTTTCCTTATGATGTGCAACCTATTTCTCAGATTGCTTGGAATCTTTTGTCTAAAGATTCCCCACCACCACACACAATATTTTTCCCTTTGTTCTAATACCCTCATAATGAGCAGAGTTTCTTTTGGCTTAACAGTATAAGCAATGGAGGGTATCCAAACTGTTTCTTTATGGATTTAGGCTCATATTGCTCTCAGTCTCAAGAAAACATGGTGTCTCTTAAAACATTCCAGGACTTCTAATCTGACCAATTAAATAGGTGTAGATAGTACATTTTCCATCAAGGCAAATTATATATAAGAATAGAAATAACAGTTTTGAAGCATCAATGCTAGACACTAATGGGAGGGTGAAATTAGAAAAGTGTCTTTAAATGTGTTTGAGACTTGATAATAAGATTCTTTGTATTTATGTTAGCATGTCACAGCCCAGGAGTTTGTAGAAGAGACCTGTTATGATGTGTCAGAACAATCCTTCTTGCAAATTGTGTAAAGTGATGGATTTTGATAGCGGAAATATAGAATTTTTAGGTACTACAGAAATTGCAGGTTCCATCTCCCTGCTGTAAAAAAAAAAAGTACCTGTGAATTCAGCCTCTCTTATTTTGGTCTTTGGTCTGTACCTGATAAACAGAAAGGAGGACTTCTTCTATAACTCTCTGAGCAAAACTAGATGTAATATTGTGTGTAAGAAATCTATGTGCACATCTTTCAGAAAATTAAATAATTACTTCAGGTTTGGTGGATGGGAATATTAACTCCCTTCATTGCTGATGTCCTATTGAAAATACAATAAAAGGGGGAATGTCATTCCTCAAGAGGTGAATTCTCAGAAAGGCAAGGTGTGATACATACTTAGAAGGAGGCAGTTTAACTGTACCAAATATGTATGTAAATAAAATGTTAATAGAGTAATATTGTGGAATTAGTACTTCTCATATGTGTTTGGCGTGGGACTTACAGTAAAAGTTACATAGAAATGTTGCTAGAATAGATACTGAGGCTTGTAAGCGTTTGATCAGTTATTTATATTTAAAATGGCATTAAAGCTGTGTAGGGCAATTCCGTGCATGTTTATGCAGAGGTAGGTACCATTTAATTTGATGGCACTTACGTGCAGGTATGTGTGTATAGAATTCTGCTCATTGGCAAATTGGCATAAAATTACATAGTGGTTATATATGAACTGGTACTGAATGTCAAGGTAATTGTGAAGAACTACTGGGTTCAATCCTACAGTAGAATGTAGGATCCAGGCCTAAGTTCCTAAGAATCAGTTTGCCCTCATTGGTTTAGTTTAGTGCTGGAGGGTGGACTTCTTACTTGGCCTAAATTATCAAGGATGTTCAGGAGTTTTATACAAAGATTCCTTTCTCATTGTGGGGGGAGAGCAAGATTATGAATAGTTCCTGTTCTCATCTTAAGGGCCGTTTTATGCTAATGTTGCCAGTAGCCAGCCAGAGGATTTACCCTTTACTTTTAGTGACAGTTTTTGGAAAGCTATTGAAGGTTGTGTCATACAGGATGCAGATGTAATGTAACTCTTGCAGTGCAGGTCTGCAGAGATCAAGGTAGCTATAGTTCACTACATAACTATAGTTCATTGTATAAATTGGTTTGTTGGTATGAGTTGTGAGCTAGATATTATTCAGAGGTGGAGTTATTTATGGTGAGTATCAATTCGTTGTATTCTTGAGCAAAATGCAGAGATATTCAAATTCAGAAGCATAGGCTGAAATCCTGTTGGTGTGACTGTTTCTGTGGAAAAATTGCAAGGGGCTATTTTGGAAATCAAACAGTTCCTAATTCTTTCACATGGCTTCCATGTCCTTTTATTGTATAGAAGGTGAAACGCACAAGACAGAAGTACAAAGTGTTTAATTTCAGAAAATTCCCCCCTTCTGATGACATTGTTAACTTTCCATAACACCAGTAGGATTTCAGCCATAGAACTGTAGAACTGGAACTGACCTCAAAGTTTGTAAGGTCCGTGATACTGCCTGCAGGAAATCCACAACTAAAGCATCCCTGGCAAAAGACTATTCATCCTCTGTTTGAAAAACACCAGTGATGGATGGATGCTACACCATGTGAGGTCCATTCCACTGTCAGACAGCTTTTACTCTCAGGACATTCCTCCAAATGTTTAACTGAAATCTCCTTTCTACTACTCCTTTCAACTTAGAGTCCCGCCATCTAGTACCACAGAAAACAAGCTCCCTCGATCTTTCATATGACAGTCTATCAAATATTGGAAGAAAGATTGTTATTTGCAAAAAACATATCTGTCTATAAGAACCAGGAATCTGTTATTCAGGCTCTGTGAAGTCATTCACATATTGCTTTCCCCTGGAGCTGTGAGCACCACATAGCTAGAAAGGTAATAAGTTTGTATACTTGGTAATATTTATTCAATACACTAATTGTCTTTAATCATGTACAAGCTGTTTTAAGAGTTTTATTATATGTAACAATCTGGAAAATGAGGCAAAGATCATCTTGAGATTGTCTTCACTGCTCCAGTGTCTGGTTTTATTCCTTGTATATATAAACAAACAAAACCAGAAATATTTAGGTGTCCAAGAATAAGATGGTATAAACAAGAATTCTTGACATTGCTACTTAAAAGAGCAAACTACCATTTTTTAAATGCTTAGAATGTCTTTGGTTTGGTCAAGGCTAAATATCGTTGATTCCTATTACACAAAAACTAAGGTTGTGTTTTTGCCCCATATTTTTTAATGATTTTTAAAATAAACTGGGAGTTTGTAACAGTAGTTTCCTTACACTCATACTGCACGTCAGCAGAAGATTCAACCTTTGCTATTTTGAAAGAGCCATGTTTTGCCTATATATTAATATTAATTGTCTGATGCATATAAACGTATTCTTGCGGTAATGAAATGAAGGCCTTCTCTTCTTGTCATGTGAATTTAATTTTTTGATCTCCTGGTGACTTGGCAGCCATATTTATGATATCCAAGTGCAGAATTACTTGTGTTATTTGATTAGTCCAGGTCTCAAGATCTGAGGTAGATCTTTCCATTCCTGAGAACAACTACAGTAGTTATCACTGGTAGAGCCAGGATTTTCATGTGCTTATGCTCTTGTCACTTTGGTGTTCTCTTGGATCCTGTACATTAGGTTTAGACCAGGGTTGTGCTATTTTATTTTTTACTCCAACTCCATGAATTCACCAAGCAATTCACCAAATACAGAGCCTGTATTCCAAGCTGCCTCTGTGGAGTTTCTGGTTCAGTGTCCCTTTTTTACAAGAAATGGTCCTGCGTTAGCCTGGAAGATAGGCTGTGTTCCAGGTGAATGAAACGTCTGTAGATGCATATCTGTGAAACTCTCAGAATTCTGCCTGAGGGATTTTTGGAGAATTCTGGGAGTTGCCATTTAAAAAAAACAACAACTCCTGAATGGCACAACCTTCATGAAAACTACATGCAGCCTGCAAAACCCTTCTAGCCCCAATTCATAGTTAATCATTTTGTGTGGTATAAGCAGCACTAAAGTTGCTTGATAAGTCACGTTGCCCTTGTATTAAGGCTAGTATTTTCCATGCTTCAGGCTTGGATTTTATAGCAACAGCAGAATAACACTTGTTTTCCTGCTGTTAAATGACTAAATAGTGTATTAAGAATGGGATTTACTTTTGTGAAGTATGTATTTGTGAAGCGGAAAGGTTAGAAATATCTTTACTGCTGTATTGTAAACAAATACTAAGTGGAATGTTCCACTTCATACTATATCTAAAGTTTCCGTTTTTAATGAAAAATGCTTATGAAATGAGAGGATTGTGGGTTCTAAATATTCCTTCTGTTGCTGATTTTGTCTGCTTAATGCTGCTGTAGCGGTGCTTATAGAGCTGAAGACATAGTGGTATTAGTCCCTTGGGTCTCCCTTTCTCATATTAAGCAGCAATTGGTTTGGGGGCTAGGAGAATGAGCTAAAATGAAAATGGATATGTGGAACTTCCAAAAAGAAAAATCCTAACTAGTTCCCATGTTCATCCTCTTCGTGCTCATACACATGCAGCCCAATCAATACCATCCACACAGAAGATAGCAGATTCATGTGAGCTCAAAAGCTTTGAGAAGTATAAACATTTTTTTTAACGGGGGGCTTTTAAAACCTACACAGATTCAACACAGGTGCCAGGACAAAGGGGAAATAATTTTCCCACCCTGAGCAGCCTGCTACTTACAGAGGAAGGGTCTTGAAGGGTAGCCATAAACTCCACATCTGTGGGTTCATACTTTTATATATGCATCCCAATATTCATTTTGGTCCCTCTGTTTTCTCTATTAAATTCCATGAACTGGATTTGGAGTACTTCATCCCCTTTGAAAACTGGGTTACTCAAAATCTTTCTTCTTATGAAAAGGATCACGTCCCTCTCTTACTCCTGAACTATATGTTGATAATAGGGCTGACTTTTAGGTCCATTGATCCTGTTGCCCTTTTCTTTAGAACATGTCTGACTTCCTTCCCAGAGTAGAATTGTGTGCAGTGAACTCCTTTGGCTTCTGAAAGCATCTCAACCTGGCACTCCTCGCTCATCTTTGGGAGGAATGCAGCCAGTAGTTACTGGAATATAGAGCAGAAACGTTATGGCTGCCCAGTAAACGAAAATCTATCTGTTTATGAGCAAACCTTTCTGGGGGTCTATAGCTGGGAGATAACTCATAACCTCATCGCATGCCTTAAAACTTACCACATCTTATGCTTGCTACCAATCATGTTTCTGCCCTCTTTGATGAAGTTGAACAAGAAATGCATGCAGTTTGCCCCCCCCTTTTTTATAGGAATCAATATGGATAAAAGTGAGCTGGTACAGAAGGCCAAACTAGCTGAGCAGGCAGAGCGCTATGATGATATGGCTGCAGCTATGAAGGCTGTCACTGAGCAAGGACATGAGCTGTCCAATGAAGAAAGGAATCTACTCTCTGTTGCCTACAAGAATGTGGTTGGTGCTCGGCGCTCTTCCTGGCGTGTCATTTCCAGCATTGAACAGAAAACGGAAAGGAATGAGAAGAAACAACAGATGGGAAGAGAATATCGTGAGAAGATTGAGGCTGAATTGCAGGACATCTGCAATGATGTTCTGGTAAGTGTCCAGTACCAGTTTGTGTGGTAGCATTTATTAAATACTTCTATCTGTATAAAATAATTATGAGATAGAGACAAAGATATAACTTGCTTCCTTTGTTAACAGGTCTAGTTTGGTCCAGCAGCAAAAACTGTAGCTTTTGATTGTAACTAGTTTGCTCAAAAGAATGGCAGAAAATTGTTTTTTTTAAAAAAAACATCCCTTGCAGCTTGATAGATAATGTCTGACAGTATGCATGTGTGGCTCAAGCCTTAATACAGCTGCTTGTTATAGATTTACATAGAGAACTGTTTGAAGTGTCAAATTAATATGCAACATGTATAACAATTACCAAGTATCTTGCTAGTGTATTAAGGAAACATGACGGTGCCTTGAAATAATGTATCACATTTCCTCCTAACCAACATATAGATAAAAAAAATCACACAGTCACAAAGAGTAAGAGCAGTAAAAGAATTAGCAGGAATATTCTATCTTGTAGACACTGCTGTTGCTGGGCTATGTGACAACCATAAAAATGGTTTCTTTTACACTGGTGATGGAATCTTTGTCACTATGTGTACACTGGCCAAAGTCCTGTTGCTTAACGTAGTAAATCACGTAAGATCATAAAACTAACAGAGATTTGGTGAGTCAATTCCTCCATAGGTTCCACTGATTCATTTGAGCCTACTCTAACTGTAACTTACTATATAGAATGTCACAAGATTAGTCTTATTTGACTCAGTGGAATTTACAGAGGAGTTCACTCTCCAAATCCCCATTGATTCAGTGGATCTACTCTCATGTGACAAGATTTTGGTTGATGCATACATAGTGATAAAGATCACATCATCAGTGTAGGAGAACTCACATTTTTAATGGTTGTCACATTACTCAGCAATAACAGTGTCTGAGAGTGTTCCTGATAATTCTTTTGCTGCTTTTACTCTTTGTGACTGTGTTAATTCATTTTTTTGTACCCATATATTGATTAGGAGGAAATGTGTTATATTATTTCAAGGCTCCAGCAGAAAGACTGATTCAATAAAAATTTGTGGCTGTGTCAAACACATCCTAGGTTAACAAATCTGTCTGATGGGTACATTGGAACTCTATTTGTCCATGAGCAAAAGCGATGGTTTGGTTATCTGACTCTTCTTATATTTCTGCATACTACTTCACTTCAAATTAGTTTTTCAATTGTGGTCAAAGAACCATAATGCCTTATCTGTTTTATCAATGTATGAAACACAGGGAAAACATTAACTAATTAGGATCCATCAGTGTGGCCTCTAGAGCAGTGATCCCCAACCTTGGGTCTCCAGATGTTTTTGGATGTCAGCTCCCCGAAATCCTGGCCAGCAGAAGTGGTGGTGAAGGCTTCTGGGAGTTGTAGTCCAAGAACATCTGGAGGCCCAAGGTTGGGGATGACTACTCTAGAGTATACTCTTCAGTATTAAGCAGTTGTGATGCAAGTACCTCCTTTCCCCAAAAATAAGACCTAACCTGCAAATAAGACAGGGTCCAAAACCGCCCTCATTAGGGCTTATTTTCAGGGGATGTTTTATTTTTTTTCATGTACAGTAATCTATGTTTATTCAAATACAGTCATGTCAACTTCTTCTGGTTGTTGCACAATGGTGGAGGGCGGGCTTTCACTTAACTAGGGTTTATTTTTGGGGTAGGGTTTATATTACGAGCATCCTGAGAAATTATTTTCTGGGAAACGGTATCTAGATTTTTAAAATTCTCACCAGACTTAGAACAGCAGAGCTGCAAGGGACCGTCTTGATCATCAAGTCCAATTGCTGTCAAGGAGGCACAGTAGGGAATCGAACTCTCAACCTCAGGCTTCATATCCAGAGACCTAAACCACTGAGCTATCCAGATTTTTCACTGAACACAGCCACATGGGTTTTCCCATTTAGGTCTACCCTGCTTTCATTTCTTCTAAAGATATTATTATCCATCCTTGACAATTAAAAAAAACTCAACAACCCCAAAAACCCTTGTCCAATTGTCTTCCTTTTAAGGCCTTGGGAATTAATAAGACCTGGTTTCTGATTCTTTTTCCTTAAAAAAAACAACAACACATACACATAAAGAAACTAATATAGGCATAAACTGAATTATATCTTAAAAATTGAAATGTTGATGATTTGTCTTTTAGGAACTGCTGGATAAGTACCTTATTGTTAATGCCACGCAACCGGAAAGCAAGGTCTTCTATTTAAAAATGAAAGGTGATTATTATAGATACCTTTCAGAGGTGGCATCTGGAGAGAACAAGCAAAGTAAGCCAATTATTTATTTTACATGATGGGCTTTTTTAAACAATCCTCCACAAAATCTCTATATAATATCACAAAGATTCTTCCTAAATTACAGTTTATCTTTGTTTAAATTATTTCTAATGCTCAGAATACAATGGAAGGGGAACAACAACCAGTCCATTCACCTATCACTTCTGAGTAAATGTATAAACTTAGAACGCAAGGAGAAGTTTAGTGTCGGACCATAAGAGAAGATGTGAAAGTTGTAAGATGTGTGGGAAGCAGAAAGCTTGAGTTGTTCATACTTCCTACTGAGTACATCTTGACCCTGTAAAGTCACAGATTTACAGAATAAGATGTGTTTGCAGTATATAATTACAGAGATCTGATCTTTCTTGTTCTTTAAATACTTAGGATGTTCTAAGGCACTGGTTCTTAACCTTGGGTTACTCAGGAGTTTTGGACTGCAACTCCCAGAAGCCTTCACCACCAGCTGTCCTGACTGGGGTTTCTGGGAGTTGCAGTTCAAAAGCATCTGAGTAACAAAGGTTAAGAACCACTGTTCTAAGGTGTTGTTTGTAAAAGGAACATGTCTTTGAAAGATACCAGGCTTGCAGCTTTCTATTGTTTAATCTACCCTGTGTGGGTAAATTAAAATAGTGTATTTGTTTCATGGCTTTTGGTCCAGCAGACATATTATCTAATAAAAGAGGGAAATTCACTTTCTTTATAGTGCCCCACTCTACCCATGATGGAACCCTTTGGAGTAGAGCTACAGGCAGAATGGAAATCAGTCAAACATGGCCTCCTCTTCTGCTGGTGGAGCATCTGCTGTTTGAAGAGCATGTGGCCTTTCACATATTGCTGAACTGCAGCTCCATCAGCCCTTGCCAGCATAGCCAGCAATGCAGAATGTTGGGATTTCACTCCAGCACGTCTGAGAGGCTGCACTTTGCTCATTGCTGTTTGAATATTTTTCTAATTTTGAATTCCCTGCCACAAATACACATCTACCATGCAGAATCATTAAATTATCAGATTTGTAACGCATGTGAAATAGTTGGTAACATTGATAGTGTATAGGGCAATTTATTGTACTATAGTAACAATCCAGACTATTGTATAATTTAGACCTGGATCAAATATTTGATGACAATGGAACAGGAGATTTCCTACAACTGGGATCATGCAACAATATGTAATAAAGAGGCAGAAGACAGATCTCTATATCTGGTTGATCTCTGATAATAGATTGACTCCACCTTATCAGACAACTGCAACAATTAATACACCTATCCCCCAAAATTATTAAGACATGTATCTGGAGTGGACTTTGGTTTAGAGGAACATGTAAGTTTGGTCCCAGCCCCAATCACATATTTCTGGTTTTGACCTGAGCTTGAAGGTGTCCTGTTACTTAACTCATATGTTCACCCACTTACCTGCTATTTTCCCCCAAACTTGACAGAACTGTGGCACATTTCAGCATTTCTGGAAAAATTGAACGAAAAGCTAGAGCCTGAAAACATGAAACCTGTTCATCCCTGGTTGAGGGCATATTATTTTATAGTAAATTGGCTGCCTCTTGTATATGTTGCTGCGAGTAATATGTTACTTTTTTGAGATAGGCCTGACTGAAATTGAGTGGACCCATTTCCCTCCATTTCAGAATGTGAGGTAAACATACTCTGTCAGTAACTGGAAAGCATTAATGGGAGATGCTGTTGCATCTCTGTCCTGCTTGTGGATTTCCTACAAGCAGCTCATTGGCCGCTGTGTGTACTAAATGCTAGACTAGATGGGCCTTTGACCCCAGCTTTATTTGTATGTTATTCAAACACTCCTCCACTTTTTGTCTTTTTAAATTTTGAAGCATGCAGAACCCACTTACATGTTATCTAGCATTTCAGAAGAGTTGTTCCATGGTGAACCTCGTCCTGCTTGTGGATTTCCTACAAGCAGCTCATTGGCCGCTGTGTGTACTAAATGCTAGACTAGATGGGCCTTTGACCCCAGCTTTATTTGTATGTTATTCAAACACTCCTCCACTTTTTGTCTTTTTAAATTTTGAAGCATGCAGAACCCACTTACATGTTATCTAGCATTTCAGAAGAGTTGTTCCATGGTGAACCTCTTTACAGTCCTGATGCTTCAATCAATCAAAAACCTTTATTGACATTTACAAAACACCTAGTCAAAAACTACATTCAGTAAAACTTGTTTGCAACTTTCTGGAACAATATCAAAGTTCGTTTAGATTCAATGCAGTTTTACTATTTATGCTGCAAGACACACTCTCCACCCTATCCTATGTACCTAATAATAATTAAAACTTTTATTGCCATAATTAACCCAGTGTTTACATCAGAAAATCCTTAAACCTGGCTCAAAGAGGGAGAGTTGGTTCAAACTGTTCTATTTTGGCATGTTCACTTATGTGTTCTATGAAGCATGCTACTTTCCCCACCTTGTCTTGTACCCTATTGCTTAACAGTTGTGCTATTTTGGCATGTTCACTATGTGTTCTATGAAGCATGCTACTTTCTCCACCTTGTATTTTGCCCTATTGTTTAACAGAAAACATATTCTTTTTATATCTGACCACCCTCTTTATTTTAAGCAATATTGAGCCCAAATATTGAGAGTGGGGTTCAGAATAGCGAGGTCAATATGAACACATGTGTACAAGAAACTCAATTCCTCCCAGTTCACAAGAGCAGTTCCTATCATTGTAAGGAATACCCTGAAACCTGCCAGATAATACTGCTGAAGGCATTACATTAAATCTGACCAGCGAATAGGCTCTGCATTTTTGAGGCGATTGTAATAGGTGATAGTATAGGGCCCTCTGGCCCAGCCTAACAGGAATCAGGTGGCTTAGAGAACAAGTCTTATTTGCTGCTCTTAGGAGATTCTGGAATTCAATATCTAATATCCTGCGTTTAATCAGCTGAAATGCTTCCTTGTGGGGCAGGAGCCAAGTGATTTCACTGACAGGCCTATTAGTGAGATTTTTCTTTTCAATATAGGCAAGCTCTCTAGCGATGTTATCATTTCAACATTATTAATTTGAATTAGTTGAGTTGCGAGTTAACGGCAGCACCACTCATCGGATTTCATGAAGGCCAGTTGGCTAACAACTGTGGGCAGTAGAAATAGCTCTTTCTCAATTTTGTTTGCTTTGCCAAATTTTGTTGTGGATATTTTCATTGCGAGGTAGAAGACTACTGAGTGATGTTAGAAAATACCAACATATCTCCCCCACCTTGGCCACCTTACACTGGTTACCTATTCACATCCATTCCAGCTTCAAAGTGGTGTTAACTAGAGATAGGGACGAATATAAAAGCGGATTGATTTTTCTGACGAATATAGCCGATTCGTTAAATATTCATTGATCCGTATTTGTGGATTCCAGAGTCCCCCACGAATACGAAAGGACAAATATTTACCCGTTTTTATTCGTCCTTCATATTTAAAAAATAGCCATTCTGCCTACCGGCCGCCGATCAGTTAATTGGTAGCGAGTACCCAGCCATCAGTTGATCAGTGGCAGAAAGGCAGCCACCACCCCACATAGTCAGCCACCCCCTTCCTTTCCTTACCTTAGGCACCACGCCACCACCCACTGACACCCTTTTACCTTAATCGCTGCCGCCAAGGTCTTCTGGAGACTGGCTGCTCTTTGCAAAGATGGCAGCTGCAGTTTCATTTAGGGTAGGGAAGCTGCAGGGCAGCTGCCATTTTTGCAAAGGGCAGCCTGGATCCCCTTAACCTGCCTTAAGGGAATCCACACTGTCCTTTGCAAAGATGGCAGCTGCAGCTTCCCTACTCTAACGAAGCTGTAGCCACCATCTTTTTACACGCCGTGCCTGCGGAAGCCTGATGGAGACCTTGGCAGCAGCTATTAAGGTAGGGGGGTGTTGTGGGAGTGGGGTGGCGGTTAAGGTAGGGAAAGGAAGGGGCTGTTGGGGTGGCTGGCTGTGTGTGTGGGTGGCTGCCTATCAGCTTCTGCTCAGCGGCCGGTAGGCAGAATGGGTTTCTGTGCCATGTGGTAAACCCTCCTGGGGGGTCCAATTTGTGGGTGAATAACTCCGATGTCCGATATCCAGTCTTCACCAAAGTTGGCAGGTGTGTTGGGAAAAGACATAGGAAGCTCTGTTGTGATTCTGGATTCTCTTAAGTACCTGGGGGTAGCATTCCTGCGGGGTCCTGTTTGTGACTATATAACTCAGGGGTCCATGATCCAATGTTCACCAAACTTTTAGGATTTGTAGAAAAGTGTCTGAGGAAGTTTCCTTGCAAATTTGGTGTCTCTAGTGGTTGGGGTCCATTGTTATAGCCGTTTACATAATATTTGTATTTTTGTATTCGTTGATCCATTAACCTTGATGAATAACAGATCAAAATAAATTGCCATTTTTAAAATTTGTCCCCATCTCTAGTGTTAACCTGTAAGACCCTAAACGGTTTGGGATCTCGATATCTAGCCAAGCACCTCCTTCCTGTTAGGTCTGCCCATCCAGTAAGATTGTCACAGGCAGGGTGACTGAGAGTTCTGACCCCGAGAGGCCTGGAAAATGACCACCAGAAATTTGGCCTTATTGGCGGTAGCTCCACAACTGTGTAATACCATCCTGCCTGAAGTCCGCCTGGCCCCCTCTCTAGGCACTTTTAAAAAAACTACTAAATACCTGGTTATTTAGACAGGCCTTTCCAGATCAAATAACATCCTGATGTAATAGTGTTTCCGATAATGTAATGTCTAGTTTACCACCATGTTTTCATGTTTTATTTATTTATTTTATGTCTTCTGTTGTATTTTATGATATTTTGCACTTTTATAATTTATTGATATTGTTATGTTTTGTGATTCTATTCTTGTTGCTGTTTAGTTGTTGTAAACCACCCAGAGTTGCCTTGGCTGCCAGATGGGCAGTATAGAAATCAAATAAAAAAGTTGGCCAGCTGTACCGTCATAGATAGAATGTGGCCTACAAAATTGTGTTGAAGCAGCAGCTGTTTGGGACTGTGGATTAGTTTTCACTTTTGTGCTCAGAATACCTGATAGAGAACACTTTGCTCAGTCTTGCTTTAAAAATAAACAAAACATGTGTAACTGCTTCTGGCTTTTAATTTCCCACATCAAGAAGCTCTTAAGATAAGCTATCACTGTCTCTTTTTGCAGCAACAGTATCAAATTCGCAACAAGCCTATCAAGAAGCCTTTGAAATCAGCAAGAAAGAGATGCAGCCAACACATCCTATTCGACTTGGCTTGGCACTCAACTTCTCTGTGTTCTACTATGAGATACTAAACTCTCCGGAAAAAGCTTGTACTCTGGCAAAGACAGTAAGCAGACTTAATTTTATTAGAAATGGTAATCGGGAAGTAATTTAGAGGTGTTCCTTCAACAGCTGTGGTTCAGAGAATAGTAGTTGAGGGCTGTAAAGTCAAATATGTCATTTCAGAAGGAGGGAAAAGGCTAATATAAGCAGTCAAATTTTTGAGATGATCTCTGGAAAACCTGAGACTGCCATTGTCTGAAATTCACAAGTTTTTTTTAAGTCTAAAGGCATCAGTTGCAAAAATAAGAGCATGATCTTAAATCTAGATGTAGTTCTTATTAGCTGAATGGCGGTTTTTCCACTCAGAAACTCAGTACTAGAAGCTAAATATGATACAGATATATTGGAAATTGGCCAGAATCCCACTGGTGTTTGTGTAAAGTTGGCATAAATCTGTACGTCTAAGTGCCGGGGTGTGTCTCATTCATGGTTCTGGTTTATTGGGATTGATTGTGTAGCTAAGATGCACCTAGCAGCCCTTAATTGCGTACAGAAGTTGCAGAAATCTTATGCAAATACTTATTGAATTTTGACAATTTTTTGTGTGAATAGGGGAAAGCAAGATTACAATAATATAATTATTTGAATTTCTTTTAGGCATTTGATGAAGCAATAGCTGAACTGGACACACTGAATGAAGAATCTTACAAAGACAGCACTCTGATTATGCAGCTACTTAGAGATAATCTTACTGTAAGTATCCCTTTGAAAAATATTGACCAGTTTACATGATGCAGTATTTACAGTTACAGATTTTATTAGTCCATCATAAATGATAATTTCATTCTTACAAACTGTTCTAAGGATAGTGCAGAGTTACATAAAAATGTGACAAATCTCAGCTTTGTCTGCAGAACAGTCATACCTGGCAGATACCCTTATTGACATGTTAACAATTTCTACTTCAGATGTCATGTGCCTGTTGTTTAACTCCATCTAATCTCCAGCCTTTAGGTCATCATTCATTAGCCCTTTCTTTCAAATGATTTATATTGATCTGTTGAGATGAATTATCTCAACTTTCCTTTCTGGACCAGTGTAATTAACTGCATGTTTTCAGCATAAACATGTTTGTATTTTCTTGCAGCTATGGACATCGGAAAACCAGGGAGATGAAGGGGAAGCTGGGGAGGGCGAGAACTAATGGCTGTCACACTTCACTATATGTTTAATGTCACTCTGTATCCTACACATTATATCCCTTTGTGCGACAAGCAAAAAGAATAGTACATCGACTTCACAACCTCAACGTAGCAAACTGTCTGTGGGGTAAAAACAATTGGTTGGTGTTCTGTGTACGTAAAATGGAATCAGTTGAGCAATGGTATTCTGAACCTTTCCTATTATGAACACTTGCAGTTATGATTACTGTGTTTATATTTTTTTTATCTGAACACTGTGATTATGGGTTTTGCAATTGCAGAGGAGTTTACAAAACTATTTAATGGAGAAATAGACACAAATCATGTAATTCTTTGGAGGATTATAATCTGGTATCAAAGTTGTTGAAGTACAATTCTGTTGTAAAGTTGTATAGAAAATTATAAAGATTATATTGTGACACTGCAACATGGAAGGGAAACAATTTATTGTGTGGCATTCCAGTTCAGTAGCTCACTTGTGGATTTAATAGGCACATTCATTCAGATTTTTTAATTTGTTTTTTGAAATAATGATGTTGGACAAACTGCTTTTCAGCCAAATGCTCATGTAAATGTAACCTTTTATGCGTCTTCAGTTCAAGGCAGGGGATAATGGCAACTTAACTCAAGGCTCTCTAATAGTGGCAAAAAACTGGGACTTTGTGTCTGGACAAATATTCCAGAGCTTTTAATATGGGCAACGAGCCCTTTCCCACAGCAGTGAGACCAGTATTTGCAGTGTGGACAATTCTGCACAATGAATTTTCAGTGCATTAATATGGCATTTCAGCAAGACATATTAACTTCTATGGCCTTACTAGTTGCTGGGTAGTCATGCTGAATAGGAGTTCTCTTCCCACTTTTGATAGTACTGCTAAATAAGAACTCTCTTCCCACTTAAGAATGTTAACAACCTGAATCTCCCTCCTCCCTTCAGGTCAAGGCCTTTATCTTTGAATATTTGACAGTGATCTTCTTTGTAAAGTAAATATTTTTTTGTAAAGTAAATATTTTTTGTCACGCTGCTTCGGTTTAAAGTCAGGGCTTTTGTGTGCATGGTGGTAATCTGTGCTGGTAGAAGAATCATAAATATATTGGAGTACAAATCCCATATAGATGCTGAGGAGCTGCCAGTGCAGTTTCAGTTCTCATATCTTAGCATTTGCCACTCTTGAGTCATAATGAGGATCAGGCTCTTATTCAAGATTCCCCAGAGCTGCCTTAGAAATATAGATCATAAATGTGTGTATTATTTGTTAGCTTAAGGTACTAAAATTCTTAACTGCTCAATTTTTCATAAATATGTCCAGTCAAAGATTAGAATTCAATAGGAGTTGCATGAAAAATGCAGTGGAAAGATTTCAGTACTCACCCTCAGTCTTTCCAGTATCATTCCTCTGCCTTCAACATTCCACTTAGCTCATAGAATCTATCTGTTTGTCTGTTCATTTGTCTGCTGAAGAGAGAAATTCATGCACTGACTTCAAAATTCCCCTCTACTAGCTGAACAAATTGTGCAGTTATACATGGCGCTTTGATATATGCAGTAGTGAATGTGGAACCGAGCCTGTCTGTATATCTGGTAGCTCTTTTTGCTTTGTTTCTACTGACCAGTATTTTGCCTAAAGTTTGCTTCTGTGACGGTTGTATTGCCTAGCACACATGTGGTTGTGAAAATAGTATAGCAAAAAGAAAAACCTGGTTATCGATGTACTAGATTTGTGTATGTCTTTTAACAGTTCTAGCTTCACCTTACACGATCAGGAAAGTGTAAAACAATTCAAAGACAATAAAAAATTTTATCAGTTGGTGGTCTGTTTTTTTTTAATAAAAAACAAGATTTCTTACTTTGGATGCTTACTGTGCTTACATACTGACTGTGCTATTTTATGTCCCATTGTGTATAATAGATGAAATTATTCATCTGTAGGTTCTGTGTAAGAACCTCTTGTCAGTGAACAGGGTGGGAATATTTCTGTAATTCTGATTTTCAAATTATTGCTACTACCCTATGAACAAAGGATTCCTAATGCTGGGGTTTTGTACTGGCAGTAAAAATTGTGTTTTGTAGGACAGAAGCACAGAGTGGACCCTTAGGTCTGTCTGGAAATGTCAACAATATGTAATAATACAAATAGATGGCATAAAAATGAGCTTCACATGCTGTGTATATTATGAACAGACTCAAAAAGCAAGGAATTTTATAACTATGTTCATCTGCTCACAAAAATGTTACCAAAATGTCCTCCTATATGGGCTTAAAGTCTAGTAAGATAGCTGCGCATAAGCAAAATTACTTGCAGTACATATTGATTATAACCCAGCCAATACCAAACCTGAAACACTGCTGAACATATGGACATTATGTTCATCCTGTCTATTGGCTACAACACAGTTACTGTACTTGCAAGAGGAGTTTTCACAGAAAGAACATTCATAATCTACAAAAAGAGCAGAAAGGAGGAATCTGGGAGCTACAGACCAGTCAGCTTGACATAAATCCCAGAGATAATTCTGGAACAGATTATAAAGCGATCACACCTAGAAAACAAACCAGTAATAAGTAGAAGCCAATATGGATTGGTCAAGAACAAATCCTGCCAGACTAATCTGATCTCATTTTTTAAATCAGGTAACCTCCCTGATAGAGGGAATGCTGTAGACATAGTATATCTTGGCTTCCACAAAGCTTTTGACAAAGTGCCACATGATAGTCTGATTAGCATGTTAACTAGGTAGGCTGGACATGACAACTGTCAGGTGTATACATGGTTGGCTACAGCATCGCATTCAGAAGGTGATGATTAATGGCTCCTCCTCAAACTGGGCCAAGGGAACAAGTGGGGTACCCCAGGCTCAGTCTTGGGCCCAGTGCTAGTCAATATTTTTATTAATGACCTGAATCGGGGATACAGGAAGTACCAATCAAATTTGTGGATAACACAAAACTGGGTGAAGTAGCTAACATCCCAGAAGACAAACAATTCAAATTCAAAATTATGTAAATGGGCTCGAGTACTGAGCTGAAAACAGAATGAAATGCAGGGATACTGCACCTACAAAAAAGAAGCTAAAAATGCAGAGTTACAAGATGGGAGATACCTGGCTCAGCAATGCTATGAGCGAGAAGGATCTTGTGAGTTGTAGATCACAAGCTGAATATGAGCCAACAGTGATGTGGCTACAAAAAAGGCACATACTATTTTAGGATGCATTAACAGAAGTATAGTCTCTAAATTCCATGAGGTACTAGTTCCCCTCTATTTGGCACCGGTTAGGTATCATCTTGAGTACTATGTAACATCTAAAAACAAAGAGACTTTTTACCTCAATAACAAAAAAGTATGAACTTTGTTCCCATGGTGATGGATGGACTTCACTCCAAATGCTCAGATGTGGCAACAAGTGGTTGATGCCATATCCTAGTGCTTAATCTCTACACTAGAAGGCTGCATACTGTGTATAAAGTAAAAGAGAATACTGTAGTGCTGTTATTTAGCTAATTCATACCATTAACCAGCTTTTCTTGGACTCTGACATACCATCTTGAAGTGTAGCTAGGGAGTTGCATGTTTCAATATTCATGAAGTTCTGTAAAGACTGTAAATGTGATGGGGAGAGGCATACTTGATTTAAAAAACCGATTTTATACCTTCACTCTGCTTTACGGGTTTTATGTGTATACATTAGTTATGCCAAGGAGATTCTAAACATGCATTATTCCAGCTTGAGGGCAGTGGAGATACAGTTCAAAAACAATGCTTTTTATTTTTTGCTAAGCATATAAGCCATCCAAATAAGATCTTCCCAGACTGAAGAATGTTGTACAGTATGTTAATTTGGATGCTGCATAGCATCATTTGGAGATGCTGCATCCAAAATCAGAATAGTTATAATTATGAGCAAGCTTGTGTGGGAGAGATTAGAAGAAAAAAGTACATTCACAATTAAATTGGCTAGACTTGTTAGGTCCACTGAGTGGTGTTGGAAGAAAGTCGTTCTTAGGAAGAGAAAATGGAAACATCTACCTTGCTTTTAATTTTGAAAAGCAGACGGCTAGGATTTCAAATAGCTGTTACTCACTCTGATGATAAATGCATCTTTTCAGGATGAGCTGTTAAGAAAACAGGACAGGGCAAGTATTTATGCTCAGACATCAGAAGTCTAGTTCCCTAGTTGCTTCTGCAACAACATTAAATCAATTATGACTGTTTGTAGGATAGCTATCTGAACAGCTGATTTTGTGAGAAGATGAGGGCAAAGTAATTGAGTCGTCGATTGGAAGAAGTAGCAACCATCTGACTTTCACAGAATTTTTTTTAAAGAGCTCAGTGGTTTTGAAGCAAATACCGAAATCATGACTGGATGACCTTACGACCAACAAGAGTCTACAGACCTGAGAGTGATAATTGAGTGCTCAGTTGTGGTATGATCCTCACAATCAAAGCCTCTTTCATTGTTTAAGTAAAGTGGATTTATGTCAGAAGTAAATAACTAGACGTTATTGACATCAGGACTGGAATAGAGAAGGAAACAAATTTGTAAAGTCATGGTGAGGTAATGTCCTGACCTCTTCTGGACAAAAGAGGAATTCTAAGTGGCCATAGAAAAATAAGAGATACAGAGTCCAACAGATGTTTGGTTCACTCTAAGATGGGCTATTGTCAGAATCATGCCCAGCAACATAATGCGATGTCAGATTGCTGAGAGGCTTAGTGAGGGCAGCAAATCATAACCAATGACCCCTTCAGAGCATCTCATTGACTCAAAGCACATGTAGCCACTGACTATTGATACTGGTGAAGGAGAAAATCTGAAATATATACAGGAAGCTGGGCTTAATATGGTAAATAGAAAAGCCAATTAGATTTGCATAAGCCTGGGGGGCAGGAAAGTTTTAAGACTCAGATCATACTTTCGCACTATCGAAGAGCAGGCCGGGTAGGTGGGGCTCGTCAGCCATGGAAGGCAGCCCATCTAGGAGAAGGAAAACTCCGATTTCAAACCTCCACTGCCTTGTGGCTATATCCACTCATGGAAAAGGCTTCAGGAGTTAACCTTGAGGCAAAATTCGGAGTCCCAAAGGCAGCATGTGTCATTCTGCCAACTCCTGCGACATTGCTGGAACCAGTTGTATTGGCTCTTGCCTTTCCATTGGACCATTTCAGCAATGTGGAGAGGGGGGATCTGCTGCTTGGGTAACAGCCTATCCTCCATATTACCTTACCCGGGCTTCATGCTCTGGAGACGACACTCCTTGATTCAGAGCATGTTACCATAGTCTCTCGAGACTGAAGGATGCCTATGCAATACAGTACCATTCATTTGCTGCTCTTTGAAGGCTGTGTGTGACTGAGCCAAAAAACCCTACTTGTTTGAAGAGCAATTAATTTTAATCTTATGTGCATAGATATGCACAACAAATTCATTTTAAAAAAATTCTAAGTGACTCAGTCTTTGTGAGTGGAATAGTGGAATGCAGAAATTAATTACTTACCCCAGAACAGAAATGTCTTATTAGAGGGTCTAGGGGGGTTATAATGCCCATACACATATTTCTGTGTCAGAATTTTTAATGTCCATTTTGTGCATGCCCATAGCTCCTAGAAAGTATAAATATGTACTGTTATGTACAAAAGAATGTCTTCAACATATGAATCTCAAATAGAATTTTTAAACGTCAGTGCTCAGCACACACAGTTTTAGATTTCAGTTATGGTTTAGTTAGTATGCATATTATTTATATGTTGCCTTTCTCCCAAGGCGGCTCACAACAACTAAAACTATGACAGTCAACAGTTTTAAAATAGCAGTTATATACCATACTAAAACAAACCTATATCAGGATTAAAACAATTTAAAAACTTTTTGAAAAGCATTTTAAAATCTCTTAAGTTTAATAATCAGCATTCTTATACTATGATATTCCTATACTGTACTTGATACTGCAGCTTAAGTCTGTTTTGTTCTGTAGGGGGGAAAAAAAGCAAAATGTACCTATCAGAGACATGGTATGTCTATTATCTTGCTTCATATAAGGGAAACAGCAACAGCAGGAAAAATAAGAGTTTACTTGTATAGTGACTCTTGCAGAGTGCAGGCGGCATACAAGTCAAATGGATAAATAAATAAAATAAATAGTGAAGGAAGAAAGGGTTTACCAATTCAATAGTTAGAGCTGGAGATTGTAACTTTGACAAGTGTGGCCTGTTATAAAATGTTATAGCATGGATTGCTCCTCTTCCTGAGGCCTGCCAACTGCCCTTTTCAGTACTGCATTCCACACACGCACAATGGTTAGTCCTCTATACCCACTAAGCATGTCAGTTGTCATTAACACTTTTTACTTCCCTCCACCTGAAGGGCTTCTATTTGCTTCTGCAAACTTCAGGTATCTCCCATGCCTTCCTAGGTCCTGCCTCTCATGTATGGACAGTGCAGTTTTGGGTATACAAGAAACACTTGAAGAACAAACTTGCAATGAGTATATAAGGTTCAGGGTGGTTTGAATTTCAACCGTAACTTAGATACAACCCCCCTTTTTTTTTTTTTGCTGGCCCTCAATTTTATTTTTACTACAGTTCCTGTGATCCCTTCCAATTGGGATCACAGGAACTATAGTAAACCATACTGACTAAGAGTTCTGGGTGTTAAAAGCCAGAAAAGATATCTGACAACTGTCTTTCACATAGACCAGACCAGGGCAAAGTGCGGCCCAAGGGCCACATGTGGTCCGCGAGCCGCTCCTGTCCGGCCCGTGGACAGTTTTGAACATCAAAACCATTTATAGCTTTTTTTGTCTAAAGTTGATCAGATGCTTATCTTTAACATATAAGTTATATTAATGTGTTAATGTATTAATGTGTTTTTATCTATGTAAGCTGCCCCGAGTAGAAATTGTCTAGAGGGGCGAGGTAAAAAAAATCTAACAAATAAAATAAAAAATAAAATAAATAACATACCGCAAAAAACCTTTTTAGTATTTGTGAAGATTAACAAGCTTAAAATAAAAACAATCATAATATCACTGTTTCATTTTATTTTTAACTAAAGTTGGTTCGGCCCCCAAATACAGTTCAGATTTTTCATGTGCCCCCCCCTATAGAAATTAATTGCTCACTCCTGACATAGACGTTAAAAATGCCACGGAAGGTAAGTAGCCCAGATGTACGTATGTACAGGTTGCCAGCATTATCCAAAACACTTGCCAATATGTTCGAAAAGTTAAATGCATGGTTTTTGTCTCAAAATTTAGTTTTAAAAAATTATTTAAAGCCCAAGACTAGCTATGGGAGCAAATTGAGTGCTGAAGGGAGGCAGTTGTTACTCGAGAGTCAGCAGCACGGCTACCAGAGGGATGGCAGACAGAGCTTGGAAAGGTTATCTTTGTCAAACTGCAGCTCTCTTAATAGCCTATACAGGTGGTGGGATTCTGGGAGTTGTGGTTCAGTCAAGCTACTTCTGTTGCAAGCTCTGAAAGCAGGTGGTGCTCAGGAGAAGAATGGGCTGAGCACACCTGCTGCACTGTGAGGGGGGGAAGGGGTGGGGCTATGGAATTCTAAGTGCTTCTCCCACATCAGAGGACACCTGCACAAAAAGGTGAGCTTCTGGCTTGTAGTCTTTGGGGACTGAGCCACCTGGGTTATGTGAGTTTGGGGAAAGCTGGCTGGTGAAAAGGTCTGAGAAGTCATCAAGTAAGTGAACTTTGGACTGGAGTTTGAAGGAGAGTGGCTTGTTATTGAGCAGCTTAAATGCCACATTCAGAATGTGTTTCTTCTTCCTTTGCGGGAGACTTACTCCCCTTGAAATGTACCGTACCTGTTTTTTGAATAATTTTAGTTACACCAGTGTGTGCTGTTTAGACAGAGATTATACCCACCCACCTGCTGTGTTATTTCAAACAAGTCACTGGTTTTCATGCTAGCTGCCTCATTTTGGGGTGGGTGAGATTTGCAGTCCCTTGGAGGATAGGAACATGTGAGGCAAATTTTGTATGGGCTGAGGGGTGCTGAAGTGACATGTTTGTCTTCACATCTGTTGCCTTCACCTTCTTTAAAAGGATTATGTTGAGGTGGGTGAGCTACAAAACTAATTAAACATTGTCCTTTATCTCAACAGAACAGGTAGCGGTAACAAATAGCTAGCTCATACCATACAACCCTTTCCTCTAAAAGCAAACATAGAGTCTTGGAAAGACACTGCAAAAAAGATGCCAGTCCCTTCCTGCTTCTCTTTCTAGTCTTGTTGAGTCTAATAGGGTCTGAATGAATAAATAGATGGGGTTTGTGTGTGAACTTAATAATTAACATTTTCCCCTGAAACTGCCTTAATTAGCACCCACAATATAGGATTCATTCTGAATTAACTAATCTGAAAAATGGAGGGTTAAAGCAGCCCTGACCCCCACCTGAATTTTCCGAGGAGGTTAAATATGTTGTTTTAATTCTGGGGTGATTTTGGATAGTAAAAAAATGTATTTAAACAAAGATTGCTCAGTTTTTTCTCTGTATCTGGATCCTCCCCAATACCATATTTATAAGGATGTGAAAACACAATTCATCAGAGGGCTGCAATGAAAATTACACTCCCTGCTTTTGTAATATCTTGCCATTTAGTTTTAAGAAACGTTAAGGAATGTAGCAAAAATAGATATTTTCACGTTAGTATAAGAATAAACAGGAGCAAAATAAATTGCCTTCATTAAATACTGTAGTAGAATAGAAGATTAGAGGAAGAAATAGGGTGGATTCATTTCAGTGTCATAAAACTACACAATTTTATTGAAATGTCTGCTGAGGAACAGTTGAGTTCTACCTGAGACCTTGGTGGCGTTCTGTCTATTCAGAGTAAGCAATAACTTTGTAGGTTTCTCAAGGTTTGCAGAGGACTCTTGAAATGTGTGTAAATCTTTATCTTTCTGTAAAGCAGGAGCCAATATATTACCTGTTTTCCTGAGTAAACCCTTGCACTTCATAGATCAGTTGCCTTCAAACTCTTTAGACGAAGTACATATCTTTAGACCAAACATACATTTGAGTGAACTAACAAAATAGAAATCAACTGAGACAAATGCAAGGTTCTGTATTAGGCAAAAGTAGAAGTAGGGTGGAAGGATACCTGGCTTGACATATTAAATTTTGGAAACATACTGGAAATGCAGTTGGTCTTGGTTTTGGAAGAGGTAGCCATGTTAGTCTGTGTAAACATATCGGGCGAAATCCAAAACAACAAAAGAAAACATTTTAGGTTGATCATGAGAACACAAGGGCATGCAGCTGGAGAAGAGGCTAATGAACATTTAGCCTGCATTAACAGAACTGTACATTTTCAGTTATTACTGTCACTAAACAGTAATAACTGAAAATGTACAATTCTGAAGTAATAATTCTGCACTAATTCTGTCCTCTGAAGATGCCGGCCACAGAGACTGGCGAAATGTTAGGAAGAACAACCTTCAAAACATGTCCAAAGAGCCCGAAAAACCCACAACAACCAATTCTGCACTAGTCTGACCTCATCTGCTCAGTTCTGGGTGCTGAATTTGAAAGGATGCAAATCATTTGAAGCAGGTTCAAAGAAGGAATATAAAAAAGTTGGACTGGGGAATTTAAAAAGATATATGAGAAAAAGTTGAAGAAACGGTATGTTTAGCCTGAAGAAGATGAAGTAGGGAAGTTACTATTACCAGTGAGGTAATGAGGCATATCGATAATATATATGTGCATATGACACCCCCAAATTGCAGTGCTTTGTTGGGATGAGGTTCAGTCTTAATACTTCTCAGGAGACGCTTCAGTTCTTTTTACCATGCTACAGGCAGTTTCTGCATTGGCAACTGTGAGGACTCAGACAGATTACCTGGAGATCTAAGCCTGATCCAAGCCCTCTTTGAGCATCTCAAAAATCCAAGTTATGGTGTGTGGAGTAACTGGGTTTTGCTTCACATTTCCTAAGTTACTACATGATCGACCATGAATGCTAGTGGGCCAGGATATCCATTAGCCTCTCTCTACGTGGGTGATTTACATCCAGATGTGACTGAAGCCATGTTATATGAGAAATTTTCACCTGCTGGACCAATTATGTCCATCAGAGTTTGTCGAGATGTCGCCACACGCCGATCGCTAGGTTATGCATATATAAATTTTCAGCAGCCTGCTGATGGTAAGTGAGAATTCTAATTTACTTCTACTTTTTTTCTTTTGATTTGATTTATACTAACAATATGATATATGAATACAGTAATCTCCACTGTAGTAATGTCTACAAAATGCAAACAACATTTTCAACTAATATTTCACATATGATTTATATGAAAAAAGAATTAAAACTGATTGGATATTAAGAGAAATTACAGCATAGATGCGTATTAATCTCTACATTTATTCTCCAATGTTCAGTTTAAAATCCACTGTTTCTTGGGATTCTGCTGTTAGCCTTCTCACTATCTTTTTCACCAAGGATAATTTAAACCATTTTTAATAGTTGTGCAAATTGTCAGCCCCTGTTTATTCACTCCCTGAATGCAATCTCTTCCATCTTTCTCCCAAGTTTTCCAACAGCATTAATTAGCATTACTGCTGGAAGGAACCGATATTGTTGGTTGGTATATTTCCAATATTTAGTAATTAGAAAGATCCATTGCCATTGGCCTAAATCCAATGTTGCACTAGGGGCTCTCTGATATCTTGATTGTGCTACCTCCCCATTGCAGTCTTCTCTTTTTTGCTTCTAAAGATGGCTTTGGAATTGCAGGAGGAAATGGGATTCCCTCTCCCTCATTTTTTTCTACTGATAAAACCACCCTATTAGATCCATTATCTTTAAGTCAAAAAATTTTATCACCAGAAAACAGGTATTAAGACCACGGTCATCACATTAGCATGTACGTAATCCACTGTTTGCAATTACACTCCACATTTCCAGTATATATTGTCCTTATAACAGATTTTATTAATTCTAGCATCAGATACAAACAGTAGATCAGTTTTCAATAATTCTTTTTAACAGTAACAGAAATGGAATTTTCTTTCTCTTCTGTAAATATTCATATTAGATTTATGGAATATAAACTCAAAATTGCAGAACTAATGTATGCTATTGTTCCAGCTGGCTATTCCATATTCAGACATATTCAGATCATGCTCTCAGTTGTGCATCTGGTTGCACAACAGATGGCCCGAAAATTATGAAAATCACTTCTGCAATTTCCTTTACATGTGCAGGATTTCAGTCTTATGTTTGCCAGTGATTTTGACCTTAGTAATGGTGAGATAACATCTGACTCTTCAAATGTTGCATTGAATCCATGTTGTGAAGAATGTCTGTAAGTGACTAACTTAATTTTTTCCTTGGAAAAAGAAGTGCATGTTTTTCAGAAAAACTGCAACTGAGATTCTACCACATGGATACTGGTGTATTCATTAAGTCTTAAATTGTTAGGTCTTATATTTAAAAATTAATCGGCAACCAACTTCTTGTATTGTAAATAACTTTCGATTTCTGGAGGATAGATGTTGGAACTAAACCAGGAATGAGCAATGTGTTCTTGGATTGTGACTCCCATTATCTTTTTTTCAGTGACTGTGCTGCCCAAAGCTGATAAAACTATGGCATCTGGAGGGCCACATTTTGCCTTTTCCTGAATTAGGGCAATGTGAAGGGAAGGTTCAACATTCCACCAACCATTGTGATTAAGGTTTAACATTGCTGATGTCCTATAGAGCAGCACAACATTTGCTTTTGCCATCAACATGTGCAACTATGGTTCCATTTACAAATGAATTGCTAGACTTGTATATATCATGAGAAATTATCAGTACTTGCATCTTCTAGGAACATCTTCTAGAATCATTGTTTCTCTTCTTGCACCAATTTCTTAATCTTCGTCTGTTGTCGTAAGGCTTGGAAATAATCTGTTATTTAGAAGTCAAGATGTGTGCACAGTTATCTTAGGCACACTTCAAGTTCTTCCCTTAGTTTTGCTAGACCCAAGTCTGGTTTCTGTGTAAATGAATGTGCTTTTCTTCCTGTCAGCTGAGCGAGCCTTGGATACAATGAATTTTGAAGTGATAAAAGGTCGGCCCATTCGCATCATGTGGTCTCAGCGAGATCCAGGACTCAGGAAATCAGGTGTTGGGAACATCTTTATCAAGAATCTGGATGATTCTATTGATAACAAAGCCTTGTATGATACCTTCTCAGCCTTTGGGAATATCCTTTCTTGCAAGGTAGTTATGATATTGGCAGAATAGCAATAATGGTGTATATAAACCCATGGCCCAACTATTATTCTCCTTGTATCTGAGGAAGTGAATTATAATTCACAAATCCTCACATTGGTATAACTTTGTTAAAGTGCCAAACTCCTATTTTTGCTGTATAAACACTTTAACAAGATTCTACAATTCTAACTTGCACTGGTTACTGTTATTTTTAACCAATAGTCTTAAAAATATAGACACTCTTAATTCGTTTGTTGTATGTTTGTATGCATTACTAACCTACAGTTGTATTTTATTCATTTTTATCCTGCCTCCATACCAGAATCTATATAAATATAAACTTATTGAAGAGTATGCCATACTTTTAAATTATACCAGACATAAACCAATACTTTTTTCTCAACAGATATTAACCCTTAAATATACCTCTCATCATCACTGACCTATGATTGACTCTTTAACCACCATCATTCTCCCCACTGCTGTATAAATATCTGTAAATTAAGGCTACACGCTATATCTTGGAGAAAGTGGGCAGCAGTCCATGAAACCTTATGTCAAGCAAAACTTGTTACTCTTAAAGCTGCCATAGGACTCTTTATCTTGACTGCTGAGTTTTCTCTAGAGGCTCAAAGAAGCAGAATGTCAATAGTGGCAAAGACCTCTTTTAATTAGAAACTCAGCCCATTCAACTTTATTTTCAATCCAAGGGTTCCCCCCCCCCATGAACTTGGAGATAATTTCATTAAAACCAAACAGATTCTCTGGCCACAGATTTTCATGGGCTTTGGAACAAAGAGGTATGAAAATAGGAAAGCAAGAAGTAGGCAAGAGTGATTTTTTTCCGTGTTTAGGTTTCTGGCTTTTTTCATTCCTCTTCTTTTCTTGCCCCTCAATGGATCCCCAACCCTGGTGTCTTAACAGGTTGTCTGTGATGAAAATGGATCCCGAGGTTATGGCTTTGTCCATTTTGAGACCCACGAAGCAGCAAACAGAGCTATTGACACAATGAATGGAATGTTGCTCAATGACCGCAAAGTGTAAGTGAAGATTGTTGTGGGTTTTTCAGGGTCTTTGGCCGTGTTCTGAAGGTTGTTCTTCCTAACGTTTCGCCAGTCTCTGTGGCCGGCATCTTCAGAGGACAGCACTCTGTGCTCTGGTGTAGTTGGCTTGGGAGTGCCAAGGGTTAGGAGAATTGATAGCAAGAATGAGTTGTATGGAGCATTGTGTACAACAGTCTCTATTCAACATTCTACATTCTACATTCTACAGCCTGACACATAGAGGGAAATATCTAGATCTTCTTCTCCCTACCACCCTTTGTTTTCCCATTCTTCATTATTTGTCTCATGAGTCTGAAGAGGAGAAGGGTCTTGCTTGAGTTTAGGCTTTACATATAAGTTATCATCCTGGAAAATGTAAGCTCTTGCAGAGCTTGCCCATTAATAAGAACCTCTCCTCTTTAGACCTAACTCTTCAGACATGACACTGTCTGTGGAAGCCCATTATGACATTGATGATCAGGAGTGCCTTTTGCCAAATTTGGTGGGTTTGCTGACTCTTACCCTAGCTAGAAAAAGTTGACCTTGAGGTTCACTTGCACATGCCTTGGTTACATCCTGGCCAGACTGCGGTGATGCATTCCATTTGGGGCTGTCTTTATAAATAATTTGTAAACTTCAGATGGTACAGAAGTCACACACTTCATAGGATGCATTCTGTGGGGAGCTAGGTATTCAGAGCATACGTATTAGTACTGTACAATATCAGCTGTGTTTGCTACTTGTTGATTTTCAGGCTCATGGAAAGGGTTGTTGTTGACCTCTAAAGCTCTCAACAATTTGGGATTATGATATTGAAAGGACTAATTTTACCCATGGGAATCTCTTCAGGCCTTAAGATCAGCCTCTAGCTGGTCAAC